TTCGCCTACACTGTCAACGGTATTTCTTACTAAATCCTTTGGAATTATTCGAAATTATGGTTTTCTGCGCAGGGTTGTAATCATTGCTTGTCATGTATCATTGAACAAGTCTATCACACTATTTTGTCATAGTAAATAACTTCTATTGCATTTAATAAAACAGTACAAGCTTAACAATCTGCTGCCATCTTGGACAAAATATATCTTGAAATAAACACCCAAAAAGAGCAGCTAGCACATAAGAGCAACCTTGAAGCAAACTAGATAGTACTTCGTCGGGGCGCTTCTTCAGACACCGTTCCGTCGTTGCGGTAGTGGTTACAGAGCTCTTTGTATGCTACATCCTTTTTCAATGTCGAGCAAAGGTTTAAATTTGCCCGATTGCGAATTTAAAGTAGATTTCGTAAAAAACTAATCATTTGTAGGGTATAATTAACTAAAATCAATTGAATTAAATGAACTTAATGTATAAATGATGTTAAGGGACAGCAACCTGCAAGATGCGGATCTACCCAGTTTCACAACTGAAAAGAGGCACAGTTCTTCAGATATAAGTCAGCATCAGCACAACAAACCAAGAACAGAAGGATACTACATGAGGCCATCTTGGATGTTTGCACAGCAGACATTATCTGGATGTAAGCCTGAAAAATTAAATCAAACGGGTCCGCCAGTTCACACCTATTTTTGAGCAAGAGATGTTTGAAAGTCATTTCAATTACGATTATACTGAGAAGATGGACTTTTTGTCGTAGATCACTTTACACATAAACCCACTAAAAGCAGTGGCACCTAGCGCAAGTTCATATGGAAAGCAAGCAAAACAAATGAGGACTCAGTAGTTGTTAACTCAACAGATTCATAACAGATGGTCTGAAAAGCTGCGCACTTGACCAGAACACAAAACTCAAGCTTCAGGGAAGCAAACGTCAAACAGGAAATTGTATTAATGCAAGACTTAGTGCCAGGAAGTCGCTTCAGTCGCGGAAGAGGGAAAACGTGG